TTGGGGTGGGGTGGGGGTGGGTTGGAGGATGGGTGAGGTGGGGTTGGGGTGGGCGTGTGGTGGGCACGTGTGAGGGTTGGGGTGGTGGTGGCGGTTGGGGTGGGGCTCTGTGGGGGTTGGTGGGGTGGGTGAGGTTCGGTGTGGGGGTGTGTGTGGTTGGCGCGTGGGGGGCTGGTGGGGCTGCTGTGGGGGTTCGTGGGTGGGTAGGGGTTGGGTGGGCGCGTGTTGGGGGGTTGGGTGGGGATGGGGGGGGGCGTGTGTGTGTGGGTTGGGGTGGGGGTGTGGTTGGGGTTGGTGGGATGGTGAGGGCGTGTGTGTGGGGTTTAGTGGGGTGGTGGGGTTGGGGTGGGCTGTGTGTTGTGGGTTGGGTTGGAATTGGGTGGGGCGTGTGTTGGGTTGGGTGGGGTGGGGCACGTGTGGTGTTGGGTGGGTGCGTTGGGTTCGGGGGCGTGTGTGTGGGGGTTAGGTGCGGTGCGTTGGGGTGGTTGGGGTTGGGTGGGGACGTGTGGGGGGTTGGGTCGGGTGGGTGGGTTGGTGTGTGGGGGCGTGTTGTGCGGGTTGGGATGGGTGGGTGGGGTTGGGGTGCGGGCGCCTGTGGTGTGGGGGTTATGGTGGGGTGGGGCCGTGTGTGTGGGGGTTAGGTGGGGTGGGCGTGTGTAGTGGGGGTTGGTCGGGGTGGGTGGGTTAGGGATGGGCGTCGTGTGTGGGTGGCGGTAGTTGTGTTGCGTGTGTATTTGTGTGAGGGCAATCGCGCGTTTGTGTGCGTGTGTGTATTGTGTGTGTGCGGTGTGTACGCGTAGCGCGTGCGTGCTGCGTCGTGTGTGTCTGTCTGTCTGTCTTTCTTTCTGTCTGTAATTGCACCTATTCTCTGCGTCAATCAACGGGCAGTCTCCGAACGTTTGTAGAAATCCGCATCCAATTACACCGAGCGGACTACTAGTTGCGTGTGATGCGCTGCGTTGCATGTATTCGTTGTGCGTGCATCAAGCTGTGCCTGTGTTCAGTTTGAAACCTAGGATTTCTTTTCTCGACCAACGTTTATTTGTAAGCAGCTATATATAATATATTATATATATATATATATATATATATATATATGTATATATATATATATATATATATGCATGTCACATCTTTCGACACACATTTTTAGGCATTCGTGATTACCATTTGGAATAAGAAAAATAGCCAATAACAGGCAATCGCAGCACATTTTCTCAGAAAAATTTCCGGCTTCGCATAATATCCCAATCTGCCTGTGAAAGATTTTGAGTTCCATCGACGCCAGCTAGCAATTAAGGCAAGACACAACCGAGGAAAAAAAAAATGCCGCGGTGACAATTTGGTCCTGACACCCGTTTTTCATAACTGCGGAATGATATCAATTTTAATGAATCGAGCAATTGGGATTTACGTCCGTGCGGTTCACTCGCTAGGCACAGTGTTTCGATCTGGCTGCCCCGATGAGGCGCGTGATTTAGGCCTGGTATTGGCGTGTACAACGTCACGACGGCAAGCAGCAGAAGGTCTCATACGACAGCATCGTCGATGGGCTCCGAAGTACCAAGACAGTGCGAAGACATTCTGCCAGTCGCTGAATCTCTCACGTATGTTGAGTTATACAGTGCGCATTTGCCACTTCGCTGAAGTATGGACGTTTGCCATCACCTGAAATAGTGCGCGTGTGCATGCGCTGAAATACTGATACGCCGGCGGCGTTTGCCATTCGTCTGAAATATGTTGCGCTTTGCCATTCGCTGAAATAGTGGCACATTCCCACTCGACTGAATACTGTGCGCGTTTACGCACTCGCTGAAATAGTGCGCATTTTGCACCACTCGCTGAAATAGTGCGCGTTATACCATTCGCTGAAATAGTGCGATTTCCACTGCGCATGAAATAGTGGCATTTGCCACCGCTTGATAAGTGCGCGTTTACCACTCGCTTGAATTATAGTGCGCATTTGCGGCACGCTGAAAATAGTGCACATTTGCACTACGCTGACAATAGTGCGCATTTGCCAGTAACTGAAATAGTGCACATTTGCACTCGCTGAATAGTTGCG